ACTTCACAGCGGGCGGAACTTGTCATAAAGTCCGCGATAATAAAGCCCACCCATTTAGAGGGAAGATATGATTGCTCAATTGTACTGTCATTTTACATTACTCTCTCGTTCAGTTACCCTAGCTGGCCCTCTGTGAATTCATAGCTAGACCACCAATCAGCTCCTATCTTCACAGGAACTCGCAGACGGCCAAAAGGAGAAGCTGAACATGCAGATTCGAAAGGATTTATTTCTTTGGATATGTTATTTTAAATACAATTAAATCAAGTTATTTTTGGTAAAACTAATGAAAAATAAAAATAAATTATGTTTTCAATTTTTCTTTTAAAAAAAAATAACTTAGGCCCTAGACGGCTCACCACTGGGTCAATCCCAAATGTTGTATTTTGTAGACTTTGTGAACTTTTCTCCCAGATGAACACATTGGCCATACTTAAAACTAGATGACATCAACAAATAAAGTTAGCCTACAAATCAGTGCTCTGTGGTTTGCAGCATGCAGACAGGTTGACCTGGGATGGGTCAAACTCCCGGCCTGATTTCTTTTTGTTTCAGTCTGCCACTACCTAACAGACAGTGCTTTACAAACATTTCAGATGTGCTTCCTGTCAGTGGACTCACGTTGTAGAGGATCTCTACCCATCCCTCCATGGTGATGCACTGGAACACAGTGAGAATAGCGAAGAGGATGTTGTCGAAGTTAGTGATGCCGTAGTTGGGTCCCGTCCAGTACTCCTTGCAGATGGTGCCGTTCTCGCAAGTCCTGGCCGGAGCCTCCAGGCCGCAGGGGAAATCTGCCACCTGTTCGTCTGCAGCAAACACACAGTTCGCACACCGTCACAGACACAAAACACAATAACATGCCGAGGTATTTTTAGAGAAGGCAGTGGATGTATTATGTAAAAGTACTTCTCATTATACAGTAGATTCAGAAGAACATTCCTTCTAATGCACAATATATAATAATAAAGAAGCATAAACCTCCTTTTGTCCCTGAACCAGATGCAGACATCACAGACAGTTAAAGACAGGGATACTTTAGAGTTTTTTTTTTTAATCTTTAATAAAGGCATTTAGTTATTTTTAATCTCTTGTGATATACTACTGTCTCTTATTCCCATAATCTGCCAATAATGGAATGGCGGTTGTGTATGCACATTGTTTTTGCCGTGCAGAATATATTGACAGCTGGAGAACGGCAGACAAAGGAGCACAAATGGATGGAGTTTTACGGCACTGTACAAAGATTTAAAGAATGCCTGGGTCAGCAGTGTTTCCATAAGCCATTACATGGGGATGATTAATATCAATGTACATATAATAACCATGCCTAGATTCACATTGTGAGCGTGTGTGTCCCTTGCTGGTCTCTAACTCACCGGTGTCTATCCTGAAGCAGGTGCGATGGAACTTTCCCATGTAGAAGTCGAGGCCGATGATGGCGAACATGAGGATTGCAAAGAAGAGCAGCAAGCCGATCTGCAGCAGAGGTACCATGGCCTTCATTATGGACTTCAGTACCACCTGCAGACCTGGTGCAGACAAGGGAAAGATGCATTTCAAAACTGACATTTAATAATTATTCATTTATATTGTGTTAGCCTTTATTGGAGAGAGTGGGGACAGACAGGAAACACAACATGTTAAGACTGATAAATCAGTGTGACATTGTGTTCATGTTACCAGATTCCTGATTGGTCGTAGTGTTATTTATGTTTTTGTTTGAACTAATCAGAAGAAGCAATACATCCTGCCGACATGATTTCAAGTTGGCATTGGGTTCTGCCAACAAAGCTCTCATGGTGGATTGTTTCTCCAGCTGAGGGAGTCATTAATGGGCACAACACCAGACATATTATAGACATTCTCTCGATTGAGTTAATGCTATAACATATTGCGTGAACATAAAATACATTTGAACAGTTCCCTTGGTTGTTACTTATGAAAGCATTTGACATGAATACACATAGCGAGTACCTGGTGTTTACATTCATGTGAGACTGACTATGTCTCTTAGAAAATCAGGTTTTATAGTACTGAATTGATTTGTCATTATCATTTTCCTGATACATAATCAGAAAATCTTGTTCTTGTTTATATTTACTGGAAACTTTTCTTTTTTCTCTAATAGAATGAGACGCTTCATGTATCTGGATGGCAGGTGTACACCTGAGAGTGGTTCTCTGTGGTCCGCTTTGGGCACTTTGGTTTAGGTGGGGAAACGACTGTGGTTTGTTACTGAGTCAGTTACATTTAGTATCAACCTTTTTCTGACTTTTCAGGTATAATAATTAAAATCTTCTCTTTGTCCTAATAGAAAACTGTTAAGTGGTTTTATGTAAAACTATATGTGTGGGGAGCCTTCATATATAAGTGTAAGACACTGGGAAGGTGAATGTGATGTCAATTTGAGCCAACAGATAGCATAATGACAAAGTTTGTTTTATGTCAGACATTTTGACTTATCATCATGGGAGGAGCACAGTTGTACTTGCTAACATTAAATACGTTTTAATAAAGGGTCTGTAAATCAGCTGTAATTTATTTTTGATCCAAATCAACTACCCAATACGAACACAAGAATAGCCCTTATTCAAACCATTAGGGTCAGACAATATTATAAAATATATTAACCTAATATCTTTGAATCAGCTAAATTAACTGAGCTGATCATAATCATATTTCTTATTGTGACCTTTTTGTCACATTATGTTTGCTGTGACATTTGAATGTTAAAGTCCCGATATGACATTCATGTCACAGCATTATGTATCTTATTTGTTTCATATCAATTTGGTCAAGAATTGTTTTCACAACAGGTTAAATGTAATAGAGGACGTGTCATGCATGTATTATAATTCTTAAATGGCTTGAATCTGACCTTTAGCAACAAAAAAACAAGCTTTTAAAATGTAGCTAGTTTTGTCACACGCTTAAAGAGCCTGTGACAGCCTCCCAACAACTGTTGTGCAATGAAACATTGGGCTACTAGTAATCTCGAACCGTCAGTTTAAAAAAGAAGGTGCGATACCGTTCCAATAAATATCAATAATTTCGAACATCGCGGGGAAATTCCTTCGACTCATTTTGAAGTTTTGGGGGAAGCCGGAAGTGACGTCAATGCGGGAATGCTTCAATGTGCAGAGAGCCAAACACGGACAAAGTGTGTTTCATGCGTAGAAATGGTGAATTACTGAGTTTAGGCACGTTAATAACGTTTTAATGAAGTTGACTACAGTATATTCATATTTGTCAGTGCTTTCATGTCAATTCGGCGAACATATGATAAGTTAAATGATCGTGAGGATGATGATTAAAAATCGTTTGTTTGAGCCGGTCTACATTTCCTGATGAAAAAACAAACCGATGCTTTTTGTAGTTGTAGCACACCAACATGGATTAAACATGTGTTTTTTTACCACAATGTTGGGGAAATTAATGGATAAAATGCACGGATTATGATTATTATTACCACGCCGATCGGGACACTAGGTCCACCGTTCCCCCAGCAGCGAGGCTCCCCCCGTTGACAGTTTACGTGGGCTGGGCTGGGTGCA